GCAGCTACCCACCTGAACTACTCTTTCTTTAGTATGAGGTCATTCCAATCCAATCAAAATATTTGGTACAAGCCTTCCAACATTAACCTAATGCAAGAAATTTAGAGGTTGTTATAAAAGGTATGACCTATTGTATCTGAATACAGTATATAGATTTCCCTGCTCTTTTTAGTTGCAAACAGCTATAAAAACAGGCTTAAAAGTGAATCTGATTAACTGAAATATGAATGAATGTGGATTATACACACTGTGCTAACTAAATGGTTTTGTTCTGTAAATTAACTATTAAATGGCAAGGAGATACAGTATATAGTACAAAGCACCACTGTATTTATGAAAGAGTGGTGAATGAACTGAAACAATTTGACACACCTCAAGGTTCTGAAATAAGATTAAACCTGTATGTAAAAGAAGTGATTAAAGTTTCCGATATGCGTTTCTGTTGTTATTGATTGCTGATTTTGTTTTCTGACAAGGAAGAATCGTGGAAGAAGCAATTATCATCTCTGAAATGCATTGGCTGTTGTGCTTTTTGTTTCTTTCAAACCAGATTTTCTGCTCTTTCAACAGAAAGAATTTATTTTAAAGGGAAATCAGATTTGACAGGAAAATCTGTATACTGGAAAAGTGTGCCTGATTTTTTTTAAACGAACCTGCACACAAGAGTGCTCTGGTAAAGTCTATCATTAATATAGATTTGTCAATATTTGGGATTCTGGCCAAGAACACAGAATTACCAGATAAAATGGCTAAAGAATGCAAAAAATCTAAAACTAAATGATAATAATCTCTGTGTTCTTATTGTATGTGCAGGTTATAGTCAAAGTCTTGTATGGTCAATCACCAAACTAGCGCTTTTAACATAATTTAAATTGTCTATTAAAATGATTCCATTATTTATTCTGTAATTAATTCTGCTTGATCATTTTCAGTTACTATACATCACTGTGGTTACTGCCTGCCTGAGAGAATATCTGCTTTATGTATCTCACCTATTTCCACTTCTATGACCCTTTCCAAAGATTAAATGGCTTTGGCAGGTTCTTGTACATGAGAGTGCACGTATGGAAATTTGACGTTTGGAATAATACCCAAAGAGAGATCCATTTATCCATTACAGGGTTGTGGGGGAGCCAGAGCCTATCACAGCAAGCAACAGGTGCAAGGCAGGGCACACTCTGGATAGGACACCAGTTTATCGTATAGAAACACAAAGAGATAGTCTGGTATTCACAAATATACAACAAATCTATTAAAAGGACTGAGTGAAAGAAATTCCTAAAACAATTCAAATGCTGCCTGTTGAAGGAGAATAGTGTGGCCAGTGATTGTGTGCTGTTGGAAGTGGTAACTGGACTTTACACTCATTCAGCTACTGAAGGCATTTATTGTTATTCATGCTTCTTCTATAGCACTTGCATTTTCAGGTTGACAAGCTTGTTCTAGTCGTTTTGTTCTAGTTTGTTTTTACTCAATTACACTGTCTGGAGCAACCTGAAGAACAGGAGAGACCAAGGTGCAATGAAAGAGCACTTATTCTTAAGTTTGGCAACTTCATTTTCGTTTTCGGGCGATTTGAAAGACGGCTTCCTTTAAGAATACAGGAGGAAGTGTTGCATTGATGTCAAGACAGATATACAGACAAGGGCATGCTGACTGAAGAGTGATGAAGAGTGATTTGTCACTATTAACAAACATTAAACTTTTTGTTTAATGAATATTAGACATGATTGTCTATTGTGTATATCAGAAACCTATATTAAAATAACATTTTATACAGTAGCTATTTATTTAATGAATTCCCTAAAGTCTTTCTTATAGAACAAACTGATTAAAGGAAAGACATTTGTAAACAAATCCCGAGTGACAAGGATTCGAAAAAAAAATTAAATGGCTCCATACTCCAATTCAGTATTGAATTGAAATGTTTAAAATAATTTTTGTATAATCCTAAATACAAATCAAAGATCAATACGAAGAAAAAAACGTTTTAATTGGAACCTGCTTTTGAAAAGTATATATCATTTGGGTAGCTGATTTAGCTAAAAAAAATGAAGTACTGAGTAAAACCCTTCTCCATAAAATTCGCGTTTTAATTTATCTGAAAACCACAAACTGCGTGGCAAAACCCCACAGCGTACCCCGTGAGAAAACAAATTGCTGTGGGTCTGAAGACTGAACCCTGTGAAAAAGGTACAAAATGGAAGCGATTTCACCCGCAATTCCTTTACGCGATATTTAAAGAGAAGCTGCTTATATCGGGAGTGCGTGTATCAGCAATCCGAGTGATCACTCGCTCGGAGGCGTGGCGAGGAGGACGGAGCACAGAGTAAGAGGCGAAGCGCAGCTGGCGGATCCCAACTGCACCGATCGCAACTTGTATCGCCGGGGTGTCTCAGGCGGTGTTGATCTCTGGATATTCCTCGTTCGTTAAGGACGTTTTCCTCTGTTGTGTGTCGGGCCGGGGACGCGGTCTCGTCCTTAAGGAGGTGGTCTGCTGTTTGAACGTAAGTGCGGAGCTGGAGAAGGCGATTCTGCATGTGTCCATTAACTGTGTGTAAGTGCACGCTGCCTCGGTTAACCATTGCTGTGAGCCTCTGGGGGGTTTTGCTTGCCTGAGCTTAGCGACGACACTTTGAGCGTTTTTGGAGTCCGTTTCTGCAGCCCTGGCTCTCTCCATTCACTGCCTGCCTCGTCCTGCTTCTTATTTATAGCGTGTCCTCGGTGCTTTTGGCTATGTTGTTGTCGTCGTGTGGAAAAGGGAGTGAACGTGTATGCTGACACTCGGCAGTTCCCCAGTCTTATCTGTCAGTGGTAGCTAGGGAAAGAGGGGATCATTGGAAAGCCAGGAGCACGTTAGCAGCTTTCTGACTGGACAGTTGCAGACTTTGTGTTGAGCCGGACTGAGCAACGACCTGAACCTCTTAACTCTTAACCGTGGCCCCGATAGCGAGATAAGAGTGAATGAGCCTAGTATACATAATGTACTGAGTTATGATGTGTGCTTGGCAATTATTTACGACCTTCAACTCTTGTGGTGTGTGCGTGTTTTTAAAGGATTTAGAGAGCCTCATTCTAAGCTGTGCAACCTTGCACAATTGTGAACTTTGGCACACTTTGGCCACTTTCCTGAATTAGAGTTAGGGTGTTGGGTTATTTTGCTGCAACTGTATTTGTATTTAAACGTGGAACTGAAATGCACGTAGTGCAGTATCAAAATAATTCCTCACACCTTAGCTCTGTCCCTGGGCGAGAGTCCGGGTGACTGGAGAGTGGTTAGACTTGCGAAGTACTGTACAGTGTTAGTAATACAGCCCAGGGAGGTTATATCTAGTTTAACAGTGCTGAATAAAGTCTTAAGTTAGCTCTTTAAATTTAGTCTACCTCCTCCCCTTGCGCACTAGCGGGCTTCACCACGAATTTGTGGGCGGTTTCTGAACGACCCGGGGCTTCCCCTGTGCGAAGCAGGTGCAGCCGTGTTTACAAGCGGGTCAGCAGTCCAGGTCTCACGCTGTGGCGAGGCGAGGTCACGAACCGCCAGCCTGCGGAGTGTGGATTGCCGCGCCGTGCGGGAGCAGGAGAGACTGGAGAGCGCTGTTGGGGGAAAAAAAGCGCTTGTGCTCGGCTCCAGGCGTAGGAAACAGCAGTGTCGCTGCTTTGCACACTGAAGGCTGTAGAACGGTGATGAGATCGAGTGCGAGGGCGAAGATGTGTTTGGGTTCTCAGATTTGGGTAAATACGGTAAAGTCGTGTGGCATGTAGAACATCATACACATTTGCCGCGGTGAATTTTCTTAAGGGTGGTTTTGACTTGGATTTTTGTGAGAAGTGAAAGGTTTTCTGCTTTGTTTGTTAGTCAGCATCAAAGTCAACAGGCAGCTCGGGCATACCGGTGTAGTAATCTTGAACAGGGCAGCTGGCTGAGGATACACTGTAAGTTGTATAACAATTTTACAACTGTAAAGTACACAATTAACAAACAGATGGACCGAATATATCCATTGCATTGTAAATCACTTGCACACAGCAGCCGTAATCTTAATAATCTGTAACAGTTCATTCTGTAGCAGGAACACGTAACAGATTACATGCATGTGCCTTGGCTGATGTCAAGGTTGTGGTTGGAGAAAAGCCGGCTGATAGACTTGCTTTGTGTTTCTTTCAGTCTGGTCCCTTTAAGGCAACAGCTGGCTGCAGACGCCTGTGTACAGCAGCCTTGACAGTGAGCTGTTGACACAGTCTGAAAATGCTTGGCTTGTTGTTCCAAAAGTGTCTGTGAGGGGGATCATCCCTTGTAAGACAGCGTAGCTGCCACAGTGTTTCAGGTGATGGTTTGTGTTTGTGGGAAATGGTTTACCTCTATGCTTGTACTTTTACTGCCACTTTGTGATTTACGGAGCTTGGAGGTGCTAAGTAAAACCGTGCGTGCTATACAGCTGTTCTTCTGGAGTGCAGTAAGAAAACAGGGCTACTGTGGAGTCCAGGTTTGAAAAGCAAATTAATTGTGCAACCTGTTCCTGATTTAGAGAAAATAAAGAACATTGCTGGGTGATATCTCACATGGCATCAGGTGCTTTTATCTTTTTTTTTTTTACAACCACATGTTTTCTATCACAATCATCTGGTCCTTGAGGTGTTATTCAAGCGTTCCTCAGGGGATTTTTTTTAATGTTTTTGCCATTCCTCAATTTAAGCATTACATTTGCACCAAAAAAGACATGTCAATGGGGTGTCTGTCTGCTGGTAAAGTACGAAATGCGTGAAGAACCTAAGATTTGATCGCACAGTTGCCCAGATCACGGCACACATGCAGACTAGACCCCGGGCTGTAAGTTAGATCCCTATCTGTGCTTCTCCAGCACAAGCCAGGTGTAGCTTATCAGCTCCTGAGATTCAGCAGATCCAGGGTTTTGTTTTCCTTGAAGACTTTACCTCTGCTATCTGATCCTGGCCCTCTGACCTGGGGGAGCTGCAAACTTATTTTTTCCCTTCTGAAAAGAGATGAGATTGGCATACTGTTACAGTGTTGTGTCGTCCTCGCTGGGACACGGCAATCGTGCAGTTCTTCACGAGAAGACTCATGTTATGATGGGGCGATGGAAAGGGGGTTGATGAGAAAGACCCCCTACACACATGCACTGACACAGTGTGTCACTTGTAACCTCAAAGGTTAAGTAGGGACCCTGGGGGAGAAACTTACTGTATACTCGCTGATGGGAACTTTGCAAGCACATCCTTTTGTAAAAAGTGCAGCCTCCTTCATATTCCCAGTCCAACGCAATGCCATGGTGTGGGAAATGGCTTTTGCCCTGGATGCTGGCCAGATTTTTTTTTGTCTTTGACTGGTAACAGTTTGAAAGGGACCTTCGGCTCTGACATCGCAACCCTGTACAAATCTGGATTGACACAGATATTTCGACCATTGCAGCTCACATTGCATGCTTTGTTGTGTGTATTTACTATATATTTTCAGCTCTATATTTTCTGAAATCTGTAATATTATATTGTTTAAATAAGTGTCTAGTATAATAAATCTATAGTAATATGACGTAGCATATTATGATAAGTAATATGAGTGCTCGTGTCCCAATGAGCTAAGGATCTGTGCCTGTGGCTGGAAGGTTGCTGCTTCAAATCCTCCGCCAGCAGAGGAATCCTACTCCGTTGGCCCCCGAGCGAGGCCCTTAACCCCAGCTGCTCCAGGGGTGCTGTATAAATGGCTGACCCTGCGCTCTGACCCCCAGCTTCTCTCCCTGTCTGTGTGTCTCATGGAGAGCAAGCTGGGGTATGTGAAAAGACAAATTCCTAATGCAAGAAATATGGCCAAAAAAGTGATCTTATCTTGTCTTATGACTTGTGTTGGTTTTTTTAAAGATGATTTGCTAAAGTAAGTGGTGGCAGTTGCTGCTCATTCCAGTCTATACCGTAACGCAATTCTGGCTTGAACAACAGCTTAACTGTATGATTAACTCTTGGTTAATCTGACTTTCTACTTTATAAGATTATTATCACACCAGAGTTGTTTGTACAAAATGGCGCACAGGAATGTGCAGCAAAGTCCAGCATTCAACTGCCAGCGCTTTAAAGAGAGTGTTGTCAAACACAGTTATAATTTTTTTTTTATCAGCTCCAGTTAGTTGCTTTTGGTATTTTACATTGCATGTGAGATTTCTGAAAACTGTAGCACATCCTTATGCTGCACTGATATTAATTTGAAAATACTTTTGCTGAGGGATTAGGATGTCCAGGCACACTTTGAACCTCCCTCATGTGGCCATTGAGTCCTAACACGTGAGGACATTCCAGTTTTCGCCCTTTGCTGAGCTAATGGAGCACTATTGACCCTCCTAGGCATTCCTTAGAAAGCCATAGGTGACAGACCTGTTTGTGTTCTCTTTTTTTAATTTATTTTTTTTCTCAAATCACTCAGGTCATTACACAGTACCTTTGAAAATAAGATGCTTCTTCACAAGTCTGAATTTAATATCGCTGTAAAGGCTATGCAAAAGAAAACTCTAGGCGAAAAGAATACATTTTTTTTTGCATCTATCTGTAGATGAGGATGAATGCAACCCAGATCTTAGAAGATACTGTACATAATATATTCGCAATGTTAATTAACAGCCTGTTGGGTCCTTATCTCATGCAATACGTGTTCCTGGACTGCGAACCCTTGAGTTTTTCTGGCCAGTGTTTGAATGTCAAGCCTCGGTGTGATTTGTGGCCAGGAAAGAACAACTTGTTTTTTACGGCCCCTGCTTCTGTCTAACAGAGATGGGGAGACATGCTGTGGAGATGAAGACAGGGAGGGCTGGATTGTGTTGGGAGGACAAACTGTTTTCTTCCCGCAGGACTTGAATTCCCAAAATATGAGCATGTTCACTCTCTGGCCTCAGCATGGCTTCTCTTCAGACAGAGCCTGAGCTGAGATTGCTCCACATGAATTCCTTGCCTTGCTTATCCCATGGGCAGTTTCCGCAGCTGGGAAGGCAAATTCTTACACTTCCCCAAACCTTTGCTCGCCCAGAGTTTTCTTTAGCATGGGAAAGATTTGTTTTCATGCTATTCTTCATTTATACATTTAATACAACTTTAAAAATACGGGCTCCCAACTTAAAACTACTAAATGCAAGTTTGCTTTCACCCTCTTAAATCTTCTGACACCATCCAAATCTTTTAAACATTCTTGCCTTTAGCTTGCTCCACTCAGTGGTTTGTTATTTTTTCTTAACGAGCAATGTGTGGTTCCCATTTTAAAATAATTTTCATTGAACCAGAACTTGGCGAGATCGGCTAAGTTTGCTGAAAATGCCACATGAAACCTTTTGAAGTAAATATTCATTTCAGGGCATGAAAATGAGTATGATATCAGGAGAGATGAGCTGAGGTGTATTTAGGTATATATATATAGGAAAATGGTTAAAAGTAGTGTTATCCCATTTAATTAGCGTTTGACAAAGTTACAGTTCTACAAAGTCCATCTTACTGAACAAATGTATAGTAGATA